GTAAACTATATAGCACATATATTAGCAGTTTCACTTTGTTACTCCTATAATACCTTCTTTCTATGTAATATTAAAGATTGAATGTGAAGTTTCTAGGTAGGCTTGGGTGTACCTTTCAAAAATTTTGTAAACTGTTTTTGTCTGTCTTTTGTTACCGTTTTATGGTGCCAAGTATTCTATATTAAAACAATAACAACATGGGAGAAGAAAATTAGTAGTCTGCATTTAATAGCAACTGCAGTGAACACAGACTAAATCTATACATAGTTTTAGAGGGAAAAAGACTGTAAATTTTCCTAGTTAGTAGCTATGTGCAACCTACAACATAACCTTGTTACCACCATTTTTCTCCCACCACTAAGTACAACATTAAAAGGTGATTAGAGAGTCTATTGATGAAACACAAATGTATGTTTTATTGATTTAATTTAGAACACTACAGAGTTCATGGACTGTGTGATGGCATTAGATTGATGCTTGATTTTGGTATAAATCACTACCTTTGAAAATGATTTGATGTCCACTCTAAGAATGTTTTCTGGACAGTACAATATGGGTTTGTGTTAAGTACTGTTATCCAAAGGTTATCTGCAGCTCTGTAATGTCATTGTGCCATGTTGCAATATAACCACACAATAATTCTATTTAACGTAAGTACAACACACAGTAACTTTGAAGGCCTTTAGAAATGAATATTCTGTTTCTCAAGCAATAAAACTGATCATCATGGTGAATATGGCTGTGTCTGTCCCTTTAATTTGGGGAGTGGGGACAGTTGGGAAATGCAAGTTCTGAAATTTCTCTTCTGATTTACCACTTAATCTGCTAATCGACTGTATTCCTTTACCATGAAAACCCAGTGGGATAACTGAAGGCATCTTTGTGTGTGTGAAACTAAACACAGTACAAACTGAGGTGAAGGTATAAAAGTTTGGTAGTGTTTTAAAATGCGGGGGGGGGGGGGATTTGACTTCCAGGCTGCTAATCTGTTAAGTATAACAAGGTGTTAATAGCCACGGGAGATGCAGAGAACCTGTTAGTTCAAGGAATACTCCCTGTCTGCTCTTTCCTGAACTCGGGTGAAAGAAAACCCCTCTCTTGCTGCTGAAAAAAACCCCAAATAAATAAACTCTCCGTTGAAGCCCAGCAGAGTTAGACTGGGGCCCACAAAGAATCTGATGGCATCCAGGGAAGCGGCACAGCCGCCCAGTCCAGGTAACTTGTGGACTGGAGGTTGAAGTCAGTGAAATGCGTGTAGGACAGCCTGAGCAGTCCCATAACAACTGCAGATGTTGTCTCTAAATGGCGTTAAGAAATATTCCCAACAGAAACCCTAGTTCCTGCCCTCGGCCTTCTGGCACAGGGTTGTTTCCAGCCCACTGCGCGGTGAGGAAGGGCCAAGGCGCTGGCTGCTCCTCGCCCCTCGAGCGGCGGCAGGTCTTGCTTCAGCCCAGGACACCGGCGTGTTTTCATGCGGGCTTTACAGCCGGAGCTCGCAGCGGGCCGAGCGCCTGCGGCGTCCCCGGGGTGCGGGCGAGGAGCCCCGCAGCCGTGTGACAGGCGGGGGGACAGCAACAGGGAGGAGCCGCCTCTTGGCTTCGGCCGAATGGCTGCCTGACCAGAGCCCTCGCCCTCAGCGAAGGTGCTCGCGGCCGGACACGGGTCTCTAGTCTCGCCGAGGCGGGGAGGGAAGCAGCTACGGGAGCCGCATGGCTAACAGGCCCCTGCCCCGCAGCAGCAAGCGGGAGCCGCAGCCCGGCCAGGGACCCGGGCGGACCCTCGAGGGCACGGCGGGCCGGGCGCGGCGGAGCGCTCGTGTCCTGGCG